CAACAACAAAAATTAAACTAATCTCTTTCACATCATTTCCTAAACATGTTTTTAATAAGTTTTTATATAATTTAATTAAGTTTTTCTCTCTTTCTTTCACTCTCTCTCTCTATCTGCTTTTGCTGCAACATATGTATGTTTTTCTATTTGTTGTTCGTATCACATGAAAATCTCGTCTACAAGCTGAACGATTAAATGTATGGATATGTGATAATTGGATGATTAGTATCTGGTGAGGATTAACAAACAGTAAAAACACTAAGTTGCTTTTACGAATATTTGATGCGATTCTTTAGCTGCTTATAGCTACAGACATGTTTAATGCGAAAGGACATTGTGAGACTGGGAATATGGCAAGATGATGGGGATGGATGTTGCAACCATGTTATTGTTCAATGTATTTAATTGTGTTTAATGTTTCATATGAATATTGATAAAAGATTTATCTAGTAAATTTGCTGAGTAAAATTGCTATAAAGATTATTTTTTTGTATATTTTGTCTGGCTGGCAAAAAAGGGGAAATGGTTTAAGAATTACTTTTGTTGTTTTTTTTTTAGCATAAAATAGCTTTTTCCTTTCTTCATTATCTTATCACTAAAAACCTACTTTTTCTCTTACAATTTAGATTTTCAACAGAAAAAGCTTTGAAAGACTCAATTTTTGCCGATTTTTTTTTAAACTGCCTTTCATTGTGTTTTGCATTTCAACTGAAATTGAAAAAACTGATATTTTTTAAGCGAACTTTCAAGTAATCAAAAAACTGACCTTTCACTGTTTTTTTTTTTACTAAAAATCCAGTTTGTTGGTAAAAAACAAACTTTTATATTAAAAAACTGAAAAACTAAGTTTTCACTGCAAAACCTTAATTTTTGCTTGAAAACTGACTTCTCATTGAAACACTGTCTTTTCGTTGAAAAACTGATCTTCCACTGGAACGCTTTTTTATTGAAAACTGTTTTATTAATAATAAAAACTGACTTTAATTTTTCACCAAAAAGCAAATTTCTAATCGAAAAAAAAAAAAATTTTGCTGAAAGACTGATTAAAAACTGACTCGCTGAAAACTGACTTTTCACATAAACTGACTTTTTACTTATTTTACTTTTAAATAATTTTTCACTGTAAAATCATTAAAAATTTCTCCAACAAAAAACTGATTTCTCATAAAAAAAAAACTTTACACAGAAAAACTGACTCTTCGTCGAAAATTTTGTCTTTGTAAAATCACTAAAAATCTTTTCAATAAAAAACTTTTAGAAAGAAACTAAATTTTCACAGAAAAACTGACTCTTCATCGAAAAACAGACTTTTCACTAAAACGGATTTACACTGAAAAATTAGTTTTTTTTGACATGAAAACTGACTTTACACTGAAAAAGTTTTATTTTATTGAAAATATTTTTTTTTTACATACTGAACTTTTACCGAAATTTCTTTTCACCAAAAAACTGACTTTTTATTGAAAAACTGTTTTCTAATTGAAAAAAAGTTTTTTTTTGGAAAAATTCATTAAAAAACTGAATTGTTATTGAAAAATTAATTTTTCACAAGAAATGGGTTTTGCTTGAAAACTGAATTTTTGCTGAAAAACTGATTTCTCAGTGGATAACTGACTTTTCACTGTGTCAGTTTTACAGATATTTCTGATAAACTCGCTTAGAAACTGTCCATTAATTTGTTTAGAAATAACCTTTTTTTTCTAAAAAAACTGACTTTTAACTGAAAAAACAAATTTTGCACTGTTAAATAGTGAAAAAAACTGTTCTCTCTTTTTTCTAAAAAACTGACTTTTAACAGATTTTTCACTGTTAAATAGCTAAAAAACTGATAACTCACTAACAAACTGACTTTTCACTGAGAAAAAAAACTGATTTCTTAATGAAAAACTGACTTTCCACTGAAAAACTACTTCTTCACTGTAAAACTGTCGTTACTCTAAAAGCTAATTTGTTTAAAAAATAACTTTTTTTTCTAAAAAACTGACTTATCACTGAAAAAACTGATTTTGCACTGCTAAATAGCTAAAAAACTGATTTATCTTTTTTTTCCAAAAAACTGACTTAACAGATTTTTCACTGTTAAATAGCTAAAAAAACTGATAACTCACTAACAGACTGATTTTTCACTGAAACAAAAACTGATTTTTTAAAGAAAGACTGACTTTCCAATGAAAAACTGCTTCTTCACTGCAAAACTGCCTGTACAATGAAAAACTGACTTTTCATTGTGAAATTGTCTCTTTATTGAAAAATGTATTTTTTAACGAAACAAATTTAAATTTGTCTCCTCACTTCAGCTTTAACGTGATTTGGCCCACGGGTGGTATGAGTAATTTCTATGTAATTTATGTGCTCATTTAATACTATTTTATATCAAAGTTTTTGGGATCCAATCTGTGTTCTATAGAACTAATTTGTAGCCTTAATAACTAAGCTTCACTTGTACTTTAAGAAACGTTTTAAAATTTTACCCAAATTTCTAAAAAAACAGAAAAATTATAAAAGGACTACGGAAGGTATGAGTAATATTTTTCTTAATAAAATTTTATACATTTTTTTTATATTCCGTTTACATCTTTGCTTTAATGAAAACCTGTGATTAGCCTAAATCATAATATTAGCTTTTACGGTAGCTAATCTCTGATCCTGTTGTAGCGCCTATGAAATTCGATCAAGTGACCGGCCGCAAAAGCACACAACTAACACACACATACACTCATGATATTAATAAACTCATAAACATTTTTATAGATTAATCTTAATCCACAGCTGTCGATAAAGACAAAATTATGCATAAAACAAAAAAAACATTAAAAAAATTGGAAAAAATTAATAATAAATAGTGGAAAATGTTGTTGAAAGTTTAAGCCAGTGTTAAGCGCTAGTGAGTGGATGAGTGAGTTGAATAGTAGACTAGAAAATATTAATAAATTAATATATTTGAACAAAAAAAAACCCAAACAGCAGCAATGTAACACTAACAGAAGTTGTTGTATTATGTTTGACTGGGTGTTAATATTGTTGTGAACATGCAACTTTAACGAAAGGCCGCACCGAAAAAAAAACAGAAGTGTTGAATTACGGGTGTGTATGTCTGAAACAATAAGTATCTATGTAGTAACTACTCCTATAAATGTTTGTATATGTTAATAATAATTGTGTAATTTCCTGCAAGCATGAAGTTTACTAAACAGAAGATTGTTTTGTTGCATTTGAAAACTTAATAATCCTTATTTAGCATAAACTCACGCAATCATAGCAAGTAAATCGATATGAAAATCTTGCATTTTAAGTCTCAATATTTTATTCAATTGCAAACACTTGTTTGCAGCTGAAAATGTTAAAGAAAAACTTCACACCTTTGCTAAATGTCTGTTTCAATGTTTGTTTGTTTGTTTGTTTGTCTGCCAGAGTATGACATCTGCTAATTTTAGTGATATTTAACGCTTAATAAATATGTTTATAAAAAGTTTATTTATTTGTGTGTTTTTTTTTTGTTGCAGCATAAAATACATTTTATAAATTCCATGATCTAATCACTATAAAACAAGTTTTCATAATTTATTTTCAATAATAAAAAAAAGTGTCAGAAATATTACAAATATCTCCATTAATTTCAAATAAAACAAATTGTCTAAAATTTATTACTCAGCTATCAGGTTCAATAAAAAATTTTACAAAAATATTTAAACAACAATTGAAATAAATTAAAAATAAATAAATAATTCTAAAAATAAAAATTATATTGACAAAGTATTTATATAAAAACAGTATTTTCATTAAAAATAAACTGATTTCTCACTGAATAACTGACTTTTAACTGATTTCTCTCTAAAAACCTTACTGTTGATTAAAGATCTGAATTCTCTGATTTCCTACTATAAAACCAAAGACCTTACTTTCGATAAAATTTCATACTGAGAAACTGATTTTTTTTGAAAAACTGACTTACACTGAAAAACTGTCATTCCTTAAAAAATTTATTGGAAAACTGACATTAAAAAGGATATTTTTCATTAAATACAGACGAATAACTGAATAACTAACTAACTAACTAACTAACTAACTACTAACTACTAACTAACTAACTAACTAACTACTAACTAACTAACTAACTAACTAACTAACTAACTACTAACTAACTAACTAACTAACTAACTAACTAACTAACTAACTACTACTAACTACTAACTACTAACTAACTACTAACTAACTAACTACTAACTAACTAATAACTAACTAACTAAACTAACTAACTAACTAACTAACTAAACTAACTAACTAACTAACTAACTAACTACTAACTAACTAACTAACTAACTAACTAACTAACTACTAACTAACTAACTACTAACTAACTAACTAACTAACTACTAACTAACTAACTACTAACTAACTAACTAACTACTAACTAACTAACTAACTAACTAACTAACTAACTAACTACTAACTAACTAACTACTACTAACTAACTACTAACTAACTAACTAACTAACTAACTAACTAACTAACTAACTAACTAACTAACTAACTAACTAACTAACTAACTAACTAACTAACTACCTAACTACTAACTAACTAACTAACTAACTAACTAACTAACTAACTAACTACTAACTAACTAACTAACTAACTAACTAACTAACTAACTAACTAACTAACTACTAACTAACTAACTAACTAACTAACTAACTACTAACTAACTAACAACTAACTAACTAACTAACTAACTAACTAACTATTAATTAACTAACTAACTAACTAACTAACTAACTACTAACTATCTAACTTGACTGACTGTTCACCAAAAACTAAATTTTTGCTAACAACTGACCTTTTACTTTAAATATTAACCTTTTATTAAAGTTCAGTTCATTTGAGATTTTAAATATTTTTTTTATTAACAAAATTGTTTAATTTATTTAATAAATAATTTTAAGTATTTTTAGCAAAGTTTAGTAAAATTAAAATAATTCTATAAATAATAAATTAATACTCACATCGTATTTATTTGGCCTCATTGTACCCATTTATTTTGCATGTAATTTGGATTCGCATTCGGCTACGGTTTGAAAACTTTAACAGTCAACATTTAATTTATTTTTATTTATTTATTTTTTATTATTATTTAATTATTTATTAAAGATGCTAATATAATTATGAATAATTTATTTATTTATTTGTTTTACTATTAATTATTAGTATTATGATTACTGTAGCTGTTGTTGTTGTTGTTTATATAAATTTTATTAAATATGAAATATTTATTTTATTTATTTATAAATTTAAATTCATTTTTATTAAATTTTTTCAATATTATTTTTATATTTTCTATTTAAATTTATTTATTTTGTTTACTAAACAAAACAAAAATAATAATAATAATAAAAACGACAATATTTGTGCAAGTGGAGAATTGTTTTGGTAGTTGATATTATTTCTCCAAAGCTGCTAAATTAAAAAAACAAACAAAATAAATGCCTGACTGCCCGAAAGAAAAACTGACCGCTGCCACATTTAAATATAAGCGTTAGCAAGCGTAGAATGAATGATTGAGTGAGTGAGTGACTGACTGACTGAAGTGTTTTAAAATAAATTTCATATATTTCGTAAAAAAATAACTAATATTCATTCTGCCATTAAATTGTTTATTTTGTCTGAAGGGTATAAAGACAGCAATTTGGTCGTACGTCTAAGCTGGAACTTATAGATTAACACAGCATTTCGGCAGGCGTAATAAAGCTTTTGAAATTTTAATTTAAATATTTTTCTTTATACTATTTTGTTTTTATTTAAATTCCAAGCATTTTTAACATGAATTTCTTTGTTTTATTTAAACAATTAATTAAAATCAATAAATCAATTACTAAACAGGTTGAGTTGAAGAAGTACTTTGAAAAGATTCCATTTTTGCTTAAGGGTTAAAAAAAAGTATGGCGAAGTATTTCTGCTATAAAAACCTGGCATTTGATTCAGTTAAACAAATATATATATATAATTTTAGTAGACTAGACTATAGATTAGACTATAGACTAGACTATGGACTAGACTATAGACTAGACTATAGACTAGATTATAGACTAGACTATAGACTAGACTATAGACTAGACTATAGAGTAGACTATAGACTAGACTATAGACTAGACTATAGACTAGACTATAGACTAGACTATAGACTAGACTATAGGCTAGACTATAGAATAGACTAGACTATAGAGTAGACTATAGAGTAGACTATAGACTAGACTATAGACTAGACTATAGACTAGACTATAAATTAGACTAAAGACCAGACTATAGACTAGACTAAAGACTAAAAACTGGCTTTTTAATGAAAAACTGCTTAAGAACGGAAATCTCATTGGAAATCTTGAACAAAAAAAAACTATAAAACTGCCTCTTTACTGCGAAACAAATTCACTGAAAACTTATTTTCTACTGAAAACGCTGACTTTGACTGAAAAAATGGGACTTCTCTATTTTCTGCTGAAAAATTGTTTTTTTGAACTGATTTTCCGGACTAAAAACTATCTATTCACTGATAAACTAAGATTTCACTGAAAAACTGACTGTCCACTGGAAAAATGTTGTATCTTTTCCTAAAAAAGTGTTTGTGTTTGAAAATCATTGTAGTCTTAGTGCTGTAGTGTTAGTTAAAAGAGTTTAAAGCTCCAGAATCTGTTAGTAGTTCAAAGAAAATATTCTTTTTGAAGTCTATTGCAAAGCCAAACATTTAAAAAGTACCAGCAATAAAGTACCTTGAAGAGTGACTCACATTGTTGTTGAGTAGAAATATTAAAGATTTTTATCTTAAAGAGCTTTATACAGTCATAGTCAAAAGTATTTACACAAACTAGAAATTGAAGTTTTCCTAATTTTAAAACTTTGTTGACTTTTCTATCAAAGCTATAAGAACTATAAATAGAAATGAATGAAATATTTCTTAAAATATTTGTGTGACTTATCGTGTTTTGGCAAACAGCTTTTTAAATCTAGAATATTCTATTTCAACTACAGTTGCTAATGATTGCTTGAATTTAAAGTTTTTAATAATTTTTTTTTTTTTGAATTTAAAGATTTAACTGATTACACTGAAAATTAGGCTTAAAACAAAATATTACAATAAAATGACCTAGAAAACTACAAGAAGAAAAAACTAAAACAAAAATTAAAACACAAAAAAACTCATTGCAGTTTTTCAAGGGTATAAAAGAAGAAATAGTTCGTTCATTCGTTCATATGTAATATATGTATTTCTATGGAAGTTCCGTGAGTTGGAAACCACTTCCGTAAATGAGTTTTAAGGCAAATAAAAACAAAGTTGCCACCTTTTAAAAACAAAAGCGTGACTAGCAGCTATAGTTCTTTTTGCAAATTTTATTTTTATGTTTATTTTTTTTTTTTAAGCTGAAAATCCCAATAAGAATTAAGTTTTCTTTATGTGTGCTTTTGTCTCTATATTTAAAGGTTTTGTTTGTTCTAAAGGGATTTAAATTAAAACGTTTTTATATATATTTTCCGTTTAAGTACACAATAGTAGTATTATTCTTTGCTTGATTCCACTAAATATGGGTCAAAAGTATACACAGTTGTATTACACATTACAGTTGTTGTAGTAGACCTTTTTGTTTTAATAGTATAGTCATGTAATGCTTATTTTTTGTAGGATTTTGTTTTTGTTATTGCTTTACACAGTTGTTAAACTTTTTTTTATAACATTTTTGTGTTTTTGGACTTTTTATTTGAATACTGAGCTGGGGCCAAACAACAACAGAAAAAGGACAGAGAAATACTAAATTTTGAAAATCAATAAGGAACAACGAGCTCATACACGCAATTCGGTCGATAGGTCAAACTGCCAAAGGAAAATGTACAACCGATGATGATGAGCATGATAAAGAAAAAGGATATATGAAGAGTGGTTAAAAAGGATATTAAGGAAAATTTTGTATAGAAAGTAGAATCATGTGTGTGCTGCAATTAAACAAACACTCTGAACACACTTTAGACACATGCCACAATTACAAAACTAAATACACTTTATTAGTTCAACAACGGGTCTACTGAAGGAAATAAAAAGAACTGAACAAAACTGAAGAAGGTATCACTATAATGATGATGATGATGACAATGACGCAGTATTAAAGCCTTAAATGGCTTTAATGACATTAAATATTTCAATAAGAATAATGAGAATAATTGCTCGTAATTCAAGCAGAACCAATTGTATTTTATACACTTTAATGTCTTTTATTTGTTGAAATAAACCCACATCACTGGCACTTACAACTCTCAACACTCACAAACACACACTTTTTAAGATTCTTATTGCTTAAAACGAAATATTATTTTATTTCATTTAATTTTTATTTTATTAAATAAAAAAGAAGGATAAAACCACAACAACCACGTGAAAATGCCGGAAACAAAATCGATTGCCAGCCAGCAATAGCAGAAAGCAATGTTTGTAATGGTGCGGTTTTTTGTTCAAATTCTTTTCACTACTTTTAGGGGTGAAACTTGAAACAACAGGCCACAGAGAGTGAGTGAAAGAGAGCGTGTGCTGACAAACACAAAACAGCTAAGAAAAAAAGAGCAATAAATTGTCAAAAATTTTGTTTAAAAAACACTTTACATGTTGAAATCTCAAATGAAAAAAACTATATTTCCTTTAGAAACCTTTTAAGAAAATCAAATTTTTTTAGGTTATAACAAAAAATTGTTTTAAATTTAACATTTAATTAACTTAAATGTTGTTTAAATTTGCCTTAAATTCACGTTTTAGTTTAGTTTTTATTTTCAAACTCTACTTCCGTTGTGTTTTGAACCAGGAAATTGTGTTTTATTATCCAGATTTTGTTCTATTAGTTTTAACACCAAACGTGCCTTATCGCCTAAAATCGCTCACTTTTTTATTGAAACATTTTTTGTATATTTTTTAAGGTTTTTTTTTTTTGCAAGAAGAAAAATTCACGTAATAATTGATTTGTATGTCACGAATGTCACAAGTGTCAAAATAAGATTTTAGTTTTCTCTCTTTTTAATTCCTCTCTCTCTCTTTTGTTAGTGATTTTAACTGTTTATTTTAGCTGTTTTCTTGCCTTGCAGATTTGTCTTTAACGAAATGAACCGACATAAAAATAGAGTTGTCAACGAGAAAAGGTCTAAAATCTCTCTAGTTAGAATGTTGAGGGGAAACTGAACTGTAATACTGAAGGAATTTTAATGGGATTAATAATTTTTCGAACAGAACAGAACTAGAATTGCACTAGAATAGAACTAGAACAGAACTAGAACAGAACTAGAACAGAATTAGAACAGAACTAGAACAGAACTAGAACAGAACTAGAACAGAACTAGAACAGAACTAGAACAGAACTAGAACAGAACTAGAACAGAACTAGAACAGAACTAGAACAGAACTAGAACAGAACTAGAACAGAACTAGAACAGAACTAGAACAGAACTAGAACAGAACTAGAACAGAACTAGAACAGAACTAAAACAGAACTAAAACAGAACTAGAACAGAACTAGAACAGAACTAGAACAGAACTAGAACTAGAACAGAACTAGAACAGAACTAGAACAGAACTAGAACTAGAACAGAACTAGAACAGAACTAGAACAGAACTAGAACAGAACTAGAACAGAACTAGAACAGAACTAGAACAGAACTAGAACAGAACTAGAACAGAACTAGAACAGAACTAGAACAGAACTAGAACAGAACTAGAACAGAACTAGAACACAGAACAGAACTAGAACAGAACTAGAACAGAACTAGAACAGAACTAGAACAGAACTGAACTAGAACAGAACTAGAACAGAACTAGAACAGAACTAGCACAGAACTAGCAACAGAACTAAACAGAACTAGAAAGAACTAGAACAGAACTAGAACAGAACTACAACAGAACTAGCACAGAACTAGCACAGAACTAGAACAGAACTAGAACAGAACTAGAACAGAACTAGAACAGAACTAGAACAGAACTAGAACAGAACTAGAAACAGAACTAGAACAGAACTAGAACAGAACTAGAACAGAACTAGAACAGAACTAGAACAGAACTAGAACAGAACTAGAACAGAACTAGAACAGAACTAGAACAGAACTAGAACAGAACTAGAACAGAACTAGAACAGAACTAGAACAGAACTAGAACAGAACTAGAACAGAACTAGAACAGAACTAGAACAGAACTAGAACAGAACTAGAACTAGAACAGAACTAGAACAGAACTAGAACAGAACTAGAACAGAACTAGAACAGAACTAGAACAGAACTAGAACAGAACTAGACCAGAACTAGAACAGAACTAGAACAGAACTAGAACAGAACTAGAACAGAACTAGAACAGAACTAGAACAGAACTAGAACAGAACTAGAACAGAACTAGAAACAGAACTAGAACAGAACTAGAACAGAACTAGAACAGAACTAGAACAGAACTAGAACAGAACTAAAACAGAACTAGAACAGAACTAGAACAGAACTAGAACAGAAATAGAACAGAAACTAGAATCGGAACTAGAACAGAACTACAACAGAACTAGAACACTCATCTGGAATTGATTCATAATTGGACATAGTTACGAAAAACACTTAAGTCGTATAATTTGTTTAAAAATTTCGGTAATCATATTAAAAAGTGCTTGTCGAGATGCTCGGTCTATAATTGACCATATAATAAATCTGATATATTTCCAAAAATTAGTTCATATCGGTTAGGTTAACATATAGTAAAGCTTTTCGGCAGTAATACTTAATGCACAATTCTTAAAACTTTTAAATTTCACAATATTTTATATACCGATGTCTGGTTATCTACCTAGTTCTTGGCCATTTAAACAATTCAGTCAGTCCATCACCCATTTTTCGTACGTTCATTCATTCATTCATTGATTGATTTTAACACTACATTTTACAACACAAAAATTCTTTTAATTCGTAGATATTATTATGAGAGAAATAGAATGACAATGATTGTTGGTTTTATTTGATTTGTTAAACTATGATGTTATTTTCAGCAGTTTTATTCATATTATGTAATAGGTTTCCAACGTTATATAATGAGCTTTTTTTCTATATATTTTTTTGGTTTGTCACTTTTTCGTTAATAGTTGATGAATGGCTGGCTGTCTGTCTGGCAGGTGAGGAAAAATGATAAATTTGTTTAACGGTTCTGAAATTTTTTTTTGTGTACGTTTAGTATTTTTTCATTTCACTAATAAAATTTTTGTTTGTTTTTGCTTTTCTTAAGGTGTTTTTTTTTTCTGTTTTGTATCTTGACACACGTCGTTTGGAAAAAAATTTGTCGTTTTAGGTTTTTTTTTGTGTTTTTCGATACAAGTTGAGTTGTGAACCCAACCAAATGCGACACGTAACTGAGGCACTGTAAAAAGCAACACACAATATCTTGGCCATGCAGCCAAGACGAATGAAAAAAAGTGTATAAAATATACAAAATAAAAAAGTTTAAAAAGTGTATAGAAAACTCTGAACACCGCACAGCTCACCACAGCACTGAGTATAGAATAGCAGCAAAGCGTAGCACCGCCGCACAGCAGACAGTAGAGGCAGTAGTTGTAGTACAACTACTACTTACTATATTGTTTGGCTCTTAGCTCTCCAGCCAGAGTCATCATCATCATCATCGTCGTCATCTGCACTCCAAATTGAGTAAATGCAGACAAACAGCAACACCAGCCACCCACCAACAACTAGCAGCAGCAGCAGCAGCAATAATAGTCTGCAACGTCGCCAATCATACCACAACAACAGCAGCAATAACAATGTTTAAAACTTTAAGTTTTTAAACTGCAGAGGATTAAGCATTATACATGGAGGACTTTTGCTTTTGTTTTTGTTGTGTTATGCTCTATTTTTGTCTTTATTTAGCTCTCTAACTCTCCTAACTTAAACTCTCTTAACTCAATTTATTTCACTCTTTCCTGAGCACAGTTCTTGTGCCTTTTTTTCCAAAAAAAAGGAAATTGAAATGAAAACAATAATAAATAATAACAGAACCCTCAAGAAATATTCAAATCGTACACTAATAAATAAATAGTCCAACGGTGTCTAAGCTTTTCTGGCTTAAATATGTCTGATAACTTTAGGCCATAAACTGTAACAGAAGTTTGATAAATGTGTGCAAGTTGCTGTTGCATGGGGTTTAAATTGCTGTAGTCATCCAACTGTTTTGTTGGTCAGTAGTTTAAAAGCATGATGATGGGTTGTTTGAGCCGAAAACTTATTAATAACATAATAATCCACTGAACATTTTTGGCCGATTTTATTAAGACTAAGGCTTAGCTTTAAGATTTTGTATCTGATGTCGATAAGAAAATGTTATGGAATTTGTCAAAAGTGTTTGAGACTCTATATGAAAACTATAACCGACTGAATTCGTTTAAATGAATGATAAAATGTGCAACGTTCTTCCCACAGACCTTAGAAAATTTTCTGAATATTTGGTATATTGTCAGACATCAAACATGTCGGCAGAGTATGTTCAATAGTTAAAGAAAAGTAGGGTTCGCAGCAAAAGGATTTTTTAAAATTATGTTTTTGACACATCCCTCAGTTGATTCAGTCGATTTAGATGACTAAAGTTGAAAAAAAAATATATATTTATATATATGTATTCGGATCCAACTCTTCTTTCAAACTAATTAACAGAGACTTCACGAGACTATATATTCTAAAATTTGGGGGAATTGCTTATCCATGCTATGCTTCTTTGGGTTCCTATTGTATGATCTTTAAAAGGATTTTAGGGCGGGCGATAATCAAACTTCTGATCTGTGACTAAAACTGGAAAACATTTATCTTCTCTCCTCTAGACTGTTGCACAGTGTAATATTAATTACATCTTTTTAAAGTCCAAAATGAATATTCACAATTTTTGTACTTTGCCCCCTCTATTTCCGTCCAATCAAAAATTCCATAGGTAACAAAACACTGGAAACTTTTATACTGGCGTCTAAGTATTTTGTTTTTAAACTGTTTTTTTTTTTTTTTAACAAAAATATTGTTACTAAACGACAAAAGAGTTGTTAATTAGTTTTATAAATGAGACCTTTAAAAGCATGCTTTTGAAGATAAACAAAAGTTAAAAACGTTTATTAACAATATATTTTTTTTTTTTCATATAACAATGACTTTTTGTAGAAATAATGGAAAGTTTTAAGGTTTTAGTAAGACCAGCTAGGAACAAAATGTTCAATAAGAAAATCTTAATAAATTAAGTTTTTAATAGTCGAAAACTTGTTTATATCAAGAAGATAGTAATCGTTTATTTTAGGTTTATTACGCACATCAACAACTTTATTAAACATTTTTGAATATGGGAGTATATATATAAAAGTTATGCAAATTTTTAAACCCGCTTTTAATGGCAAACCCTATTTAGAGCCCAAACTTAATACAACATAAAACGTTTAGCTCCAGGCAGCAACATACAAGCAACACTAACACTCAAATACATTTACATTTTGCTGCAGACTAGAACATGTTTAACAGTAGCAGGAAATGTCCAGATTACAACTAACATACATACATACATGTGTGTGTGTGTTGAACACTGGCAGCCAGACAGGCAGGTGTCCCTTCATGCTGTCTGATTTTCCAAAAGCTTCTCACCGTAATGCTGCGAAAGTTAGAGGGGAATAACACCCAACTGTAGAACAAGTTTTGGCAAAGCTTTTTTCGCCAACATGTGATATTTGTTGGGAGAAACACTTAAAAAAATAAAAAAAAAATTTTGGTAAAAAATTTTTTTAAAAAGAAAAAATTAAAATTTTTTTAATTTGCAAAAAAAATTTGGAATAAATCGGTTCTTTTATCATTGAAGTTGAAAAAATTAAATGCACTCTTTAGTTTCAACACACACACACACTACTCATTCAAATACGACTTCATTTCTCTTTCACTTTAACATTTCTCTTCAGTGATGACAACATGATGCAACCGCACAGTGTTTTCAAACCACTTTAATATGCCGCCCAATACCCTTGTGATAGTTAACTATTGTGATACAACTTGTTCCCTCATAGTTTACTCTCAACTCCAACATATTAACACGCAACATAACATAACATAATTTAGTCAAATACATGTTCGTTGTCAAACAAATATGTTACAACTCTATTTCAAAAATATTTTTTTTAGATGAAATTTTAGCGATATGAAAGGAAAGCAGCGTAATCAATTGTTTAGAATGTCTTTATGTTACATGTTTGTGTGTGAGCCGTTGTGTGGTATGTTGGTTGCCGTTGTTGAGATTACAAAAACAGTAAAAACAAAACAAAAAAAAAAGTTAAATAAAAATTGCTGTAGCAGTTGGTGCCAATTTTTTACGCTTGTTTGTTCATTTAAAGTCATTGTTTGCATTAGATTTTCTTTGTAATGATGTGAACAGAGCAAATAGAGAATGTATTCTAAAGATCAGATAATAGGTAAAGCTATGGAACAGATCAGACTATCGAGACTATAGTGTGGACGATATTCAAGACTATGGACCGGACCATAGTTGAAATAGCAATAGTAACTATAGTATATAATCTAGACTATAGGTCAGTGTATGTCTGGACTATAGATCAGTCTATAGTCTTGACTATAGATCAGTCTATAGTCTGGAATATAGATCAGTCTATAGTCTGGAAAATATCAGTCTATAGTCTGGACTGTATATCTTTCTATAGTCTAGACTATAGATCAGTCTATAGTCTGGACTATACATCAGTCTATAGTCTGAACTATAGATCAGTCTATAGTCTGGACTATAGATCAGTCTATAGTCTGGACTATAAATAAGTCTATAGTCTGGACTATCGATCAGTCTATAGTTTGAACTGTAGATCAGTCTATAGTTTGAGCTGAAGATCAGTCTATAGTGTGCCCAATAGACTATAAATCTGTCTATAGTCTGGACTATAGATCAGTCTATAGTCTGAACTATATCTCAGTCTATAGTCTGGACTATGTTCAGTCAATATTCTGGACTTTAGATCAGTCTATAGTTTGAACTGTAGATCAGTCTATAGTTTGAGCTGTAGATCAGTCTATAGTGTGGACAATAGATCAGTCTATAGTCTGGACTATAAACCAGTCTATAGTCTTGACTATAAACCAGTCTATAGTCTGGACTATAGGCTAAGCTATCGAACAGATCAGGCTATATATATATTCAAGACTATAGAACAGACAATAGTTGAAACTTGAATAAATAGTATTCAAAACTATAGTCTATAATCTAGACTATAGATCGGTCTATAATCTGGACTATAGATTATTCTATAGTCTGGACTATAGATCAGTCTATAGTTTGAACCATAGATCAGTGTATAGTCTGGACTATAGATCCGTCTAAAGTCTGGACTATAGATCAGTCTATAGTCTGGACTAGAGATCAGTCTATAGTCTGGACTAGAGATCAGTCTATAGTCTGGACTAGAGATCAGTCTATAGTCTGGACTATAGATCAGTCTATAGTCTGTATAATTACCTTTAAAATACCTTGCATTACATAATAAAGTCTCCGTGAATTCCCTTATTACAAATCTTCATGTCATATCTAAAAACATTTTATCTCCTAAACATTTTTTATAACCTTCAAAAATCTTTATACAATAGTAATCTGTAAAAGGATTAAATTTAAATACATATTTGTTGTGGTTGTGCGTTGATGGTGTTGTAATTTTTGGCGGATATTTCTTATTTTTGTTTAAAGTAGAGAAGAGAAGGAACATGGGCATTAAATTGAGTCTATTAATTGCCAGCCTATTGACATTTTTTATATTCACATTCATGGGTTTTTAACAAGGTGCGATAAACAACAAATTAATGAGGCAACTCAACCATCATGTGTGCATGCTGGGCGCCTATGAAAAGGGCGCTCAGCTGCTAAATGCCAAAGTGTTCTTTGCCAAGACAGGAACAGCAACTACAACACCACACCACCAATTCATAATTGTCATGTATTAATAGTGGTGTTTTACACCCGGTTATTAAAATGCAGATTTTTTCCACTTCTTTTTATAGTAAATTGTTAAATGGGCAAAAAAACAGCAAAGAAATCTGCTGAAGGTTCCAAAAGTAAAACTTAAAAACCTGTACGAACATTTGAAAATGCAAAAAAAAAAAAAAAAATAAACCGTATCCTCATCCTCCATCTCATCTCAACATTCACATCTCGAAAGGCAACCTGATAGTCAATTTGATCGAAAGCTCTGATAGCACTCAGTTTAAGTGGCAGCTGATGCTGGCTTTACATTATTGCGTTCCTGCTGCTCCTGCCCCTGTAACACCTTCCAACTCCCCTCACTATTTTTGAAATGTTTCAAATATCCGTACGTC